AAACACACAAATGTGTGCCTGCAGGTGCGCATCAGACGGCGCAAGAACAGTTGTGCTGCCATGCCTCATTGGCCCTGTTGTTTCCGCTGCCTCCTCGGCCCTCTTTCACCAACTTGAACTTGAAGGAACACACCCCTGGGTACAACTGAGATTTGCCACGGATACCTCGGTATAACAGTAATTTATCAGTGGACCGTTATGGCCCGATGACCACTGGGTATGAGAATAATTTGTACCCCCTGACAGTACGCAGGAGTTTTGAGGCTTTGGGCTTGGGTTCATGGTGGGTTAAAAATATATATTTTTGGGGGTAACTTCGGTAGAGTCACAAAAACGAGTTATAATTACAGTATGGGGCAAGATACACTTTGCAATTGCACTTTGGGCCCCCTACCTGGCCAGAAAAATGGGTTGCATACATTGCCCAAACTGCAATTCGAAACTGTATCCTGGCCCATAGTGCAATTATAACTCATTTTTGTGACACGGGCGTAGTTTCCCCTCCCCTGTGACGAACCACTTTCTGTAACGCGCGACTTTCTGCGCGGTTGCAATGAGGGGTCCTAAGTTGGGAAGGTTGGGCCAATTACGGGAGATCGGGATCGGTGGAAAAATGCATCAGTGTCCTTGCTTTCTCGTCTTTTTCGTCGCTTCTTTTCGAATGGCTGGGTTCGGAGCTGGGTGTGTCCTGGGATGGCCGGTTGAATGATTGGTCGGCTGGATGGCTCGCGCGCCACCGCGCGCGCGATTAATAAATGTTGACGTCGTTTCTTTCGTTTCGATTCCAAACTTTTGGGCGCGGACATCGCGCGGGAATTTGCTTCAGTCTTTTTGAATTTTTCTTTTTCTTTTTCGAATTTTGTCGAGCCCCGATGGCTCTCGGAATTTCGGACTTTCCTTCCACAATTTGTGTTTTTTTTTGCTCCTTCGCATTAGATAGGAATTTAGGAATTTCGTAATTAGGATTTTCTTGCCGCACGGCGCCTTTTGTCTACGCGCTTCTTCATGCGGCTGCAACGGAACTCTGATTAGTAGGCGCCTTTAATCGTGTGCGTAACTGTAATTTTGGGCGGGCGCCATTGTAACTGTATCTTCCTTCTTGCACTTCGTCTTTCCCGCCCTTCTTCTCTTTCTTTTGCTACGCTTTTGGTAGCCGCGTCTGCATGATCGGATCGATGTGTGGAGAGCGGCTACGTCCCCCACGCCGCGATCAGACCATGCAGACGTAGGCAAATCCCTCCCCCTTCCCTTCTTCTAAGTCCTTGTAATCCCGTGTTCTTCGCGCATGCATGCACGCTATAGATTCCGGCTGCACGATTAGTTAATTCTCTTAACCAGCTGTTGGAAGCTCGGGGTTGCGCGATCGGGAAGGGTCGGCGTACGAGCGAAGTAAGAGGTGAGTAGAGCAGGAGTCGGGCGACCCGACGAGCTGGTGCCGACGCGCAGGGTTGACGCGGGCCACGATGGACTGTGGGCGCGGGCGAACCTGACGGGTGCGGGAGGACTAAGCGGGGTGACAACTTCGTGGGTTGGTGCGCGACGACGGACTGTCCGCATCGGAGAAGAAGAGAGAGAGGGAGAGAGAGTTGAGGTGGATGGACGTGGATTTGCTGATTCTTTGTCTTTTCCCCCTCCTTGCCTGTGTACATAAATTTTGAATTGCGGCTCCGGGCAATTCGCCCGTCTTTGTTTTCCCTTCTGTTTTTCGGAACTTGGACTTGGATTTTTGTTCACACTTGCTATGCGATTCCCCTCTCCGACGCACTATGAATGTATGGATGCCATGTTGCGATCATTTTTTTGATCCCCGTCCTTGCCTTTGGGGTATCGTGTATATGATCACTGAGGATGCGGATGTATGAACGCTATGCTTGCTTGTTTACCTTTTGCGGGGAATCTTTTGTCTTTGCGTTGTCCGTCGCATTCGATGCACACGTATGTAGAATAGGAATTTCACGCAATTGATTATTCTTTCCGGGTGTTTCCTTGTCTTTGGATCAAGCAGTTTTATGATCATTGCATCTTGCATAACTAGAACATCACGGAGTGATTAGACGGTCGGATACCGGGCTCGGTGAACACCGTGCGAGGATACGTGTAAAACGCGACCTGAGTTGTGCGCTTACACGTATCCCCGGGCGTCGATTCATCAGGACCATCGATCGCGGATACCCTATCCGATTGGGAGTGGCCCTCTCGAAATCCGCGACGGCGCCATCGTCCCGCACGAGCACGCGTAAGTTCGACGCCATTTGCGCGGCCTGCACGTGCTCGCACACGGCGACCACGATCGCCGCGGACCCACCCTTAGGCAACCCATAATACCGCAATGACATGATGACACGATCATGGGATTCCAACTCATCCTACGACCCGGACTACTTCACCCCTTGGATAAAGGAAATCCTAAGGCAGCGATACCCCTGTCATACTGAGAATCGACTATGTCCTCGGGAATTCCACTGCGCCACCTCTAGCGACCCTCGGTGCTCGGATTTCCCTTCTCCAGACCATACCTACTACTTCATCCACCCGGGATTCGTCGTCATCACCACCAGTTTCCCTCCCTTTCGCCTTCAACACTGAATTCGTGAAAACCTAACAAAACCACAAAACCTAACATTTTTTATAGAATGAAAAAGTAAAAGTCAAACTCTTATTTTTTACACATTAAAGAGAGTGTTTTTAATTGTTTCCCGAGAAAGAAGGCAAAAAAATAGGCAAAAATTCTAGTGATTCTCAAAATGTGCAAGAAAACTTTTTCCAATAAAAAAACATGTTATCGGACTATAAGTCGTTTTCAGTAGATTGAGAAAAAACATAGCTCAAACAATCAATCTCTAGGGACTGTAAGGCGAACTTGAAAGATGTTAAAAAAAATAGTTTCAGTGAATATTCGTTTATAGAACTATAAATCATTTTCAACAGTTTGGTAGAAACCAAGTTCTGTGAAAACTAATTTATAGAACTATAAATTAATATAATCAATTTTAAAGTTTATTGTAAAATCCTTGTCAAAAAATATATGTTATGTAAAAGAAGAATTCAAACAACTTTTGCCTCAGGGACATCTTCAAATTCTTAGCCAACCACGATTTAAAATTAAAAAATGAAAAAATATATTAATAAAAAAGTTTAAAAAATATAAAAATTAAAAAAAAACAATATATTCGTTCATGTATGAGAGAACATATCCAAGAAAATCTATTCGTGAATAGGAGAATATATGTGCATGTTTTGGAAATCCCCGAATAGGTTCATCGTGCTACATACCTTATAGAACTATAATTATTTTTTTTTTAAATAAACAAAAAATTGGGATATTTCGATTCTTGAACAAACGGTGCTTTGCAAGGTAGTGATTTTTTGTAAAAAGACTTGCTTCTCTCCTCACCACTTCTAGTGGTTTAAAAAAAATAATTTTTTATTCATTTTTTGCGGTTAATTTACTGCACATAGAGTTCATGTAGGAGGCCTGGAAAATGTATTATCTGAATCTTTAAAAAATTTCGTGCAAACCTAATAATTTTTTTTATTAGGTTTTTACGAATTTTATGTTCTTCTTCTTCCATACCATCAACTCAGTGTTGTTCCGTGACCGGCCATAGCCCCCTATTGGTCCAGCACACCCTGCGAAAACTGCCGACGACGCGGCGATCAGAGAACCCCGGAGTTCCGAAGGCCTAACCCGAGGGCGTGACGACCAACGCCGCGTGGCAATCCCCGACAGGCGGACTCATCAGAACCCCACCTACCCCGTCGGAACCCGCCCATGAAACGCCATCCCCGGGACCAATGGCTCGCTCGGTCTTGAGCAGCCCGCGCATACCACCTGCCTTGTAACCCGAAGACGCCCTCTTCGCCAAATTGCACTCGTGCCCTCGAAGGACCCTGTCACAGGAGATCTCAGTTCTGACCTGGGACTCCACTTTCCCAAAAATCCTTGGCACCCCCCTTTTCGCACTTCCAGGCCCGCATCCTACTCCGATGAGGAAGTCGCGTTGTGGAGCGCATCGGCCCCCGTGCGAGCGAGAGCCCTCCCGGCCATGTCACGCAGGAGTTTAAACAAAAAACTTAACCATATTAGACTCGGAGACAACTTGAGAACGATGCATAAGTAATCCCGCGAGCCGCCGAGACGGTCGCGGTCGCGTCGTCCTTTCGCCGCTCTAGCCGGGTGCGCCAGTTGTACATCCCGCGGTCCCCTACGACAGGACAGGTTCCCGCGGGGCACAAGCTTGCTTCCCTAAGGGGCTGTCACCACCCTTAGGGGCGTTGTCGGGCGCAATCGGTCCGGCACCGCACGGGGCGGCGTGGGACCCTCCCTCATTCCTGATTGTGGGCATGACCCCACCACATTTACTCCGGGTCGCCCAGGTGCTGATTCCGGACCGGAGTCGTAGAGGAACACCTTGGGGAYRCTAGATTTCCATCTCTTCACTTCCTCACAGAGRCCCACCAGCTTYCGTTGGTACCTCCCCATCTTATCYAGCAGGYCTTCCATCTTCCCATATAAGACTGACGGAGGCTCCGTTCTTTCCTCCTTATTTCCGTCTTYTACCTCAGTGATAATGGGCTMTTCCTCTTTACTTCTTCCTAGTAGCCCTTGAAACACTTCTTCATCACTCCCTACTTCCTCCTCCCCAATCAGGSGTTCCACCTTTTCCTGCCATAGCCTGAMCATGGCAGGGGGTTGCGGCCCAGCTGCCGCTCTTCGTTGGGCTTCAGCCCTCACTCCTCCAAGCCTTCTGTCRATGGCCTCCCCAAACTGATCATAGATATTCCCATCCATAGTAGAGGAAATTAGTCCGCTTCTCTCGTCCTCCCGTCTTAGATTACAAAACCTTATAGTGTGACCTTGTTGGTCACAATGTTGACAGATGACCGTCCTCCAGTCAAAACGGGGCCTTCCATACCCCTGACTTCCCTGATCCCCCTGGCCTTGATACCCCTTGCCTTGATAGCCCTGGCCTTGATACCCCTGGCCTTGACTCCCTTGGCCTTGGTACCCATGGCCTTGACTCCCCTGGCCTTGGTACCCATGGCCTTGGCCATTCCATTGCCTTCCCCTTCCGCCGCCATTCCTGCCTCGGCCCCTTCCTCCACCCCTACCTCCGTTGCCTTGATCGCCTTGCCCCTGGTTYCCACCTCCCGCCACACTGCCCTGTGAACTAGGAGCAGGTGACGGCGGCGGGGCCATAGGCTGGGCCTGGGCTGCGGGGTAGATGGGCGGTGGCATACTCGTTTGCAGTCCGGCTACTGGTGGCGGGCTTCCCCACGGCACAATTGCGTTGATCACCGGCCAGGGCCACTGTCCGTAGGAGGGCGCCCCGCCTTGCGAGGGACCCGTACTAGATGATGGGGCCGCCACATTTAAAGGGGCTGCTGCCCGGGTCTGAGGTGCCTGCGCTTTTCCTGACCCCTGTCCGCCCTGCGCCAAATTACGCACTTTGCGCTGGACTTTTGTCAGGTGCTGCGGCACCGGTTCTTMCTCTTCCCAGAGCTCCTCCTGAACAGCCTCCTCTATCACTGGCTCCTTTCCTTTCACTTTGACAGCCGTCACCACCCTCCTTTGCACCACCGGCTCTGTCGCATACCCTAGCTGCGCCAATACATCTGTAACAATCCTTGTTACTCCCGGGGTCCCAGAAGCAGTCGCATCTCTTTCCTTTCTCTTCTGCCTTTGCAGGCGTACCTRACGTTGYTCGACCTGGTCCAAACATCCCACTTCCACCCCTCTATCGATGGTGGCCCAGGTGAGCTTAGTGCTACCTCCTCCATATCTCGTCAACTCGACGGCCTCCGATGTCGTGAGTAGCCCCAGGACGATGGCGCACTGTGCTTCCTCTGAAATCCCATGGACCTTCCGCGCCCTCTTCTTAAATTCTTGCACAAAGGCCCCTATCGTCGTAAAATCCTCTTTRTTCATCGCTTCAAGGTCCGCGGTAGTCAACAATCGGTCTCCCAGGCGGTATTTCCTCTGCATCCCCTCCTTGAATCTCTCCCAGCTACCTTGGGCTGCATCTATGACTTTCTTCACCTCTTGGTGGTAGCTGTGAAGGACATACTGAAGGATGCGTTAAAGCTTAACAATGTCCGACCGCCCAACCAAAGCCTGTTCCACCCGCTCTAGCCATTCTGAGACTCTCTCCCCACAGAAATGGAAAGTATCGACCTTTGGGATGCTGCTCGGGTTCCTCTCATGTCGGTCGATGGCCGCGATGAGGTCATCGAGTGTCAGGCCCTTCTTGGGAACAACTGATGGGCCGCTGGTCTCAGGCATCTTGATAGCCTTTCCTGCTTAAGTTCCCTGGCAAAAGAAAACAAGCACATCCCCTTATTCAACATTATACCTTGATCGGTCTAATCCATCCTTCCTACCTAACCCTCAGTACTTATTTTACCCAATGTGAGCACGATCGTCCCCCATACTTCCTCTACTTGGGTAGGTAAATTTCCTCACCTACACTTAGTCATTCATTATCTGTCCTTACCTTCTCATCATTCCTCTATGCCTTTTCTCGTTCATTTCTCATACCCGGATGTCGTTCCACCAGGGACAACGGCAGGCAACCGTTATCCCCGGCAACGGCGCCACCTGTCGGGCGCAATCGGTCCGGCACCGCACGGGGCGGCGCGGGACCCTCCTGGCCGCGTCACGCAGGAGTTGGCTTTTAGAATCCTTCGTCGCAATAAACATGGAGCTTCCACGAGCCGCTCCGGCCAGGTGCGCCAGCCATACCTCTCGCGAGCCCCTACGACAGGATAGGGCCTACGCGAGGCACGACTTACCTACACCTTACGGGAGCTGTCACCTCCCTTCGGTGGGCGTATCCCCGCTGAGCTACCAGTCCACAGTACGAAAGCTAATCAGCTGCAATCGCAGAGGTGGACCAGCCGAGGGCGTTTCTCGTTCGCTGTAGCATAGGGGGTACGCGC